TCCTCCCACGCGGTTCTGGTGAGCTAAGAAAATGCTTATCTCCCTGAGCTTGGCCTTCATAATTCCATTCCATCACACTAGCAGCGGTGTCAAAAGAAGTGGGGAATCTGATTTTCCCTCTTTTGTTCCACTTTTTCCAGCCTAATAGCCAGTTGCTAGGGTTGGAGGGGTTGCAGAAGATGTGGGGACGCCAATGCTTGTCAGTAAGGCCATAAATCAGCAGACAGGCTCTTGGGAGTGGGGGGCTTGCAATCCCATGTTCAGGCTCCTTTGGAACACAACTTTACTCTTCTTTCAGAGGACCACCAAGCCAGTATTAAAAGCAGCCCTATGAACAGCAAAAGAGCAGGGAGAGTTTCTCTGTGCAGTGGGATAGCTCCCTCCCACTCCAGCTCACAACTGGTGCCTCCTTGTGTTCTTATCACCTTTTTTGGGGGGGGGAGGGGAGAGGTATTTTGTCAGCCTTTTGAGGTAGGCCAGCTCAAGAAACAGGCATGGCAGGGATTCTAGAAATGTTCTCTTGTTGTAGGGCAGAAGAACAGACTCTTGAAAGTCTACCAGAGTTTCTCTTTACTCCATCTTATACCAAACAAAGTCAAGGCATGGTTATTTTAATCTTTTTTCTCATGCTCTCCTCAGGACTATGTAAACTTTCCTGACAGTCCCCCTTTAATGGCTTGCTCATTCCTTTCCTATCCCCAAGGCTTGCTCTACATTCTGCCACATATTTTTGAACAGGGGGTTAACGCTGTTCTAGAAGAATAGTAAACCCATGGTCAAAAGCAATGCAAACAACAGGTAGCAGGGGTTGCAATCAGAGGTGGCAGAGAGAGAGAGGGAGGGAGGGAAGGAAGGAGAGAGATCAATCGATCTAGCATTCTTCCCTGGTCCACCATGGGGATTCCTCACCACCACTACTGGTTTGGCTCAAGACCTGGGGATACAGAGGGACAGCCTGGTTTGAAAGAACAAGGCTCTTCTGCTACCCAGGACAGAATGGTTCTGGAAGACAGAAATAGAAGTAAAGCTTGAATACTCTCATATTATATATATATTTATTAGCTTAAATCTTGTATTAGCTACTCTGCTAAAATAAGGGTTGCAGTTTGTAATCTAGATTTCTCACATATATACAGTATTTCATCCATTTCAATGCATTACACTGACGGTCGCATTAGCTGAACTGATGCCTCGCCATTATCTCTTGCCTTGCCATGTCAGTCCGAAGTCAATCAACAATGAACAATTGTGATTGACTGGCAAGAATTGCAAATCTCCCCATGCGTTTCAATCTTCAAGAGCTCTTGGGAAATATCCTCCCAAAGTTAGAAATGGCTTTGATTAAAAAAAACCTAACTGTATGTCTTCTTACTAGTGCCTTCCCCAAGAACATAAATAACAAATGTCTTTTTACAACATTCCTCACCCTGAGGTGGAAAAGGAGTCATACTATTACAGTAACCACCAAGGGTAATTAACATGGCATTTGTTTTTTTTATATATCCTTGTAGCAGTGCTTGTTCTGTGCCCAATTATTATGGCCTTGGATAGAGGGGTGCTGAACTTCCTTGCAAGACTTCATCTGCACTTTATTCTAAGTTGTAAAATAACTATTCAACCGCATTGTACTCCTCTTCTGTTATCGGTGAACCTATATTAAGTCTCTGACAATGTTTCTCAACCTTGACAACTTTAAGATGTGTGGATTTCAACTCCCAGAATTCCCCAGCCAGTAATGACTGGGACTGGGCTCCTGGTAAGCCATAATTTTGGAAACTTCATAAAGAAAACCAGTCTGGATCTCTCCAATCATTGGGTTCATTCTTTCAGTGAATAAAGAGGCCAGTAAGTGCCAGGATGACCCCATTCCCTAGGGTCCATATGACTATAGCACCAACAGCAAACCTGCTG